GCTTCCTAAGAAGGTTGGAAATAGAAATACCTTATGATCTAGGAATTCCTCTACTTGGTATTTACCCACAAGAAATACGAGCCATAACATGAGTAGATACATGCACACCAATGTTCATAGCAGCACTATTTACAATAGCAAAAAGATGGAGGCAGCCTAAGTGTCCATCAACTGAAGAATGGATAAACAAACTGTGATATATACACTCAATGGAATATTATGTTACCTTAAAGAATAACAAGGAGGCTGCATGCCACTTCCTTACATGGATGAACCTTGAGGACATTATGTTGAGTGAAATTAGTCAGTCACAAAAGGAGAAATACTGCATAGGACCACGACTGTAAAAGAACCCATACTAAGGGGGGGGAGGGGTTCTTTGCTGGTTACTGGAATGTGGGGCTGTAGTGAGGGGAAGGAGGGGAAGGTGGAACACAAGGTAGGGAATAGACACAGGATAGTTTGGTTGCTAGGGATGGGGGCAATACACAAGAAGGGGAGGGCAATGGAAGAACAAAGCTTTGTTAATCCAGTTTTGGCCAATTGGTGTAGACTTTTGCTTCTAAGATATCACTTGTTTCTGATATGTTGTCATCTTACTGGATTTGCTTTCTTTGCTCATTTATTTTAATTTTTCTCACTTTCTGTGTGTTTTTTTTTAAATTGATTTTTATCTTCTCCCCTTCTTTTAAATACTTTTGAAGTTATATACTTCTTGTGTATAACAAGCTATAGCTTTCCACTGAAGTTTTCAGTTCGTTCTTCTAGGGTCCTCTATAAAACAGGTAACTTTTAGCCTTTTTGGTTTTTTCTTCTTTCTTCCTTCCATGGCTACAGCTGTGGTAGCATAGTGGTTACAGATTGGACTGCTATCCTCAGAGTCAGCAGTTCGAAACCACCAGCTGTTCCACAGGAGAAAGATGAGGCTTTCTGCTCCTGTAAAGATTTACAGCCTCGGACACCCTGTACAGAGTTGCTATGAGTCAGAACTGACTCCACAACACATAACAACACAACAACAACACGGTTTATACCCATTTCATGTTCTTAGAAGGGTGTGGGGAAAGTCTTAAAATGTACTAGCTCTCTCATTGGTCAGAACTATTAAGAAGGCTTATCTTTTGGAATTAAAAGATTTCTCTAGGTCATCTAAATATGAGTTTGTATTCGTTGATGTTCCTAGAATTAGTTAGGCCCTTTAAAGCTGCAGAAACTGAATTTTTTTAGAAAATACAAGATTTTCTTCTAGTACATCATCATCATCATTATTATTACTATTTTTTGCTTGTTTCCCATTTCTTCAGCAGTTGCTCTAATATTACCATAAATTAGATTACTTACATCTTTTCCCAAGAGCCTCTCACGCTGACAGCTTTTGGCACAAAGATAAACAATATGCCCCTAAAATGGCATATTGGAGTCCTGGGGTGGGCAACCCAATCATGCAAGTTCGGCAGTTCAAATTCAGCAGCCGCTCCTTGGAAACACTATACAAATTGTTATGAGTTGGAACCAACTTGAGAGCACTTAACAATAGCAACAACAAAGTGGCACTTCATAAACTAATGAATTTGTGTCTTGTAGATACTGGAATACAAAGAGATGGGGCAAACGATGTGGGAAGTCTTGTTGGCCTGGAAACAGTCTTGTCTTCCCTCAATGAACCGAGGAAAGAAATGAGTACCATGAGCCTCTGGAGGCAGCAGCTCTGTGCAATAGCCAAGGTTCGCCTCTTGAAGTTAAAGAATGAAAGAAAAAGCCTGTTGGCTGTGTAAGTATCACAGTGTTTTCCATCTGATTGGTCAGTGACATTTAAAAAGAATTCTAGAGCAAAGAGAAAGCTCATAAAAATGATTTTCAACAACTGTATGTGATATTTTAAACACAGAAACATTCCATTGCTCAAGGGAGAATCATTTAAATAAATAAAAGTGGTGGCCACTTTTTAAATAAGTTGTGTGCCACTGAGTCAGTTCGGACCATGGTGACACTGTATAGGGTTTCTGAGGCTGTAAATCTTTATGGGAACAGAAAGCCTCATCTTTCTCCCATGGAGTTACTGGTAGATTTCAATTTTTGATCTTGCAGTCAGAAGGCCAGCTTGGCATTGCAGGTTAATGCTCTGAACTAACAAAGTCGGCTTAAGTAGCAAGGTCAGTGGTTCAAGCTCATCAGCCGTTCCTAGGAAACCCTATATAGGGTCACTATGAGTCGGAAGCGACTCGATGACACATAACAATAACAACAGCCAGGATTTCTTAAATAAAAAGTTGTTAAATGCTGTCAAGTCAGTTCTGACTCATAACAACCCTGTAAAGTTTCCAAGGAGCAGCTGGTGAATTTGACCAACCAACCTTATGGTTAGCAATCCAGTGCTGAACCTACAGCGCCACACCAGGACTCTGAAATGTCATAAGAGTCTGCTTTTATCAGAAAACTAAAATGTTTCGTCAGAGCACGGGAAGCTAGCACTTTGGCCTCCTCCTAGAGCCTTGCCTGTGTCCCTGCAGGTAGACCTAGTGATGCTGCAGGTTAAGCTGGGGACTGCTAACTGCAAAGTCAGCAGTTCAAGCCCACCAGTCACTCTGCAGAAGAAAGAGAAGGCTTTCTGCTCCTATAAAGCTTTGTAGCCTCAGAAACCATACACAGGGAGGCTATGAGTCAGAAATGAGGCAGAGGGTTGGTTTTAGAGCTCCATGTTAGGCCTTGCATAGACTTCATATCTAAGTCCATTGAATGATTCAAACACTCTCCTACAATCCAGCCTTTTAACTGAGTACTGCCCATTTACTTAAACTTATGTCTTCGTTGCAGACATTTTCATGCAAAAATATCTTTGAGAACCTCTACATAATAACCAAAAATAAAACGAAACAAACTCACTGCCATAGAGTCAGTTCTGACTGATAGTGACCTCATCTAGGATTTCCAAGGAGCGGCTGGTGGGTTCTGAACCTCTGACCTTGTGGTTAGCAGTCCAGGGATTAATCTAGGTACCACATTGGGACTCATTCTGCATAACACTCTGTGTTAGATGTTCTACAAATATATCAAAATAACCAAACATGAACTGACAGCACGGGCAGCAGGTGATTAGAAATTCACTGAGTAACTACAGCAAAAACTAGACAATCCTGATGTGGGAATTGCATTAGTCTGTTAAGTGCAAGGTCGGGGGCTCATACCCATCAGCCTCTCTATGAGAGAAAAATGAGACTGTTTGCTCCCTAAAAGATTCCTAAATAGCGTTGCTATGACTCAAATTGACTGGATGGTAGTGGATTTGGTGTGGTAAACACCAGAATTTTTTAAAGTGGGAGGATTTCTAAATATGGGCATCTGAGAAAGGATTTTACATGAGGGAGAATTGAATTTGGTGGAGTAGAATAGAACATTTTCTCCAACCAGAGAAAGGAGAGTAACCATTCAGACAGAGAGATGTACTGAGCATGGGTCTACATGAAGATTCTAAACACATAAAGTATGTGAAAAGTTAAAGTAGCTATTGGATTTTTTATTGTTTTAAATAGGATAGTCATTTAATTAGTACCAATGCAACAATGCGGCTGGGTACAGTATACATTGGGTTGGAAACAGTAGACATTGAAGGCAGTGGAAACAATCACATAGGACAATATTGGAAGAAGTCAGAAAGAAAGAAAGAAAGAAAAAAGTATAGACCCAAACTTGGAAAGTGGAAAAGAGAAGAGAACATGGAGACAAATAATAACAAAAAAAGATAGCAAGCTACAACTTTTTGGAAAAGAGACTTAAGGTAGAGAAATGAATTAAAGATGAATGTGTTCTAGAACCCAGATGAGTGAGGAAATGCCATCACTTTCAGAAATCAGAGGCAGTGGGAAGAGCACACGTAGAGTGAAGTAAGTGTATGTAATGGAGACACCGGATTGTAGTGTGGTCCAGCTAAATGAAGAAGTGTAAGACTGAGAAGGTCAAAGAAGGAGACATTGGAAATAAAGATTTCAGAGTGCTGACTTGACAGCACTTAACAACAACAACAATCAGCAACTTCATACGCCTCAATGAGATGTCCAAAGATGATAATTGGGAGAGAGAAAGACCAAAGTTAAATATATGAGAACCATCTCACTTTAGAAAGCAGATCACGAGGGAAACTGCCCATTTCCTATGTGTGGTTAGTGTTTATAACTTATCTCCGATCTATATCTATCATCTACTTATGACTCAAAATCTACAAAACTTGGCATATGTGGCTGTTTCTTTTACATTTTCCTCTACACAGGTTATTGCTTTTTGGGATTAGCTTTTTCCCTCAACTTTTGGAACATTTATTCTATGAACTGTATCAAAAAAATTATTCCTGGGAACTGTCTCCTAAAATGTACTTCCTCTCGCCGGGACAAGCACCACAATACCATCTGACTGATTTATTGGTCATCAATAAGACAGGTAAATATCATGCCAAAATGCAAAATACAAATGCTAAAATGGTGCTTTTGGTGAGATATTTCTCAAAAAATAAAGACAACAAAATCCTTTATGTTTTAGAAAGTCCTTATGAGGCCAAACAAGAAATGAATTTAAAAAAAGCAACCAAAAAGAGATTGAAAAGATTTATTTTAGAAACATATTGCAAGTTTCCCTAAGCCCTAAAACTCAATGCAAAAAGTAATTAAGGGAGTTGTGGGAAGGTGAACCATTGAACGATCTTTAAATATTTTGGTATCCATTTTATAAGTCTTGCATTCCTGGGCTCTGGAAAAATCTAAGCTTATAAGAAAATAGAAAACTAATCTCTATTAAGGATGCAATGTAAAACGGAATTAATATGTTTGCACTAATGAAAATTGCAAGTAAATGCCTAGATTCTAGATAAAGTAACTTTGTCATATTCATCTATGATCTCAGAATGGATTTTAGTACCATTTCAGTTTTGCTATGCTAAGAAAATTCTCGGTTTAAGCGATCGTGATGTGCTTTCAGGAACATCACTTAGACTTTTGTCTTTATTTTTTTTTCTCAGTATTACCTGCCGGTTTATTTTATTTTTGCCTTTTCTTTACCTTCATGGTAGGGGCAAGCATCAAGAACTTTATACATTCTCTGAGGCGGCAGAACATAGCTTTGGAAGTGGATGCCTTTGGAACTAGAAATGGCACTGATGACCCCTCATATAACGGTGCTATCATTGTGTCTGGTAATGAAAGGGTACGTCGGGTTCTCTTTGTTGTACCTCATTGAAGATATTGATCAAAAGGACAATTTGAGTAATATATATCAACAGACATAAAAGATCTATTTGATTCAAACAAATGGGATATTTTCATTTTTAAAGAAGGTGGGCCTCAGTTACTTTCCCAAAGTCTCCATTGTAATAACAGAACATGAAATATTGTTTAATTTTACTCAAATTATATACAATGGTACAATTAATAATTAATTTAAATTTTAGTATGTTTGATTACATTTCAATAATTAATTTAAATCTTAGTAGCAATTGAATTTCATTTCAAATGACTTTTTTTTGTATCATCAGATGATAATACCTATTGTAAACTACTGATCTAGTTGCCAAGAGGTAGTATTGGTAAACTTTGAGGGAATGAATGGCTGGGTTTTGGGGGCTCAGGACCATACTAATCTTGGGATACAGCATGGTCAGCCCTACAGCCTACTTTGGTGAGTGGTGACTGGGATCTGGAAAGCTGGTGAATGGACCATCTAAGGTCTAACTATTTATTGGTCTCTTCCTGTGTGGAGGAAAGCAGCATGGTGAAAATTGAAGACACTTGGAAACAATTAGTCCAATGGACTCATGAAACACTCCATGACCCTAAACTCTAGACCAGAATAACTAGAAGGTGCCCAGCTACCAACCGCTCTGAAAAGGATCACAGTAGAAAGTCCTGGGTAGAGTGAGAGAAAATGTGGAATAAAATCCAAAATCATAAAAAGAAAGACTAGGATTTCAGGTCAGGACCAGACTGGAGGAACCCTGAGACTAACGTCTTTGGTCACCCTTCAAGTCTGGAACTGAACTCATCCTCATGGCTCAACTTTTAACCCAGCAGTTGTTGTGTTGTTAAGAGCCACCAAGTCAGTTCCAACCTATAATGACCCTGTATAGAGTTTCCATGGAGTGACTGGTGAATTTGAACCCCCAACCTTGTGGTTCAAACTGACCTTGCAGTCCAGTACATTATCTCACAGCACTACACCAGAACTCCCAACAGTAGACAGGTGTATGTGGGACACAACAATGCTAGTGAGATTGGGAAGGTGGCGTTTTTCTGGAGATGAAATTCAGGGAGTTGAGGGAGGGGAAGGCATGGAGGCAGGAAACGCAGGGAGGAAGGGGGATAGTTGATGTTGCACTGAAGGAACTGCAGTCATCGTTGGAATGCAGAGAAGTGCATGGTTTGTGGAGTGTACAGCTCACGGTCTGCTCTGTGGTCCTCAACTCAAGTCTCACACAAAAAATGAATTGGCATTGGCACCTAATTTATTTTAGTGGATATGCATGTATGTGGTTTTGACATGCAAAAGCGGAAGTCCTAGATGCTAAACTCAACAAAAGTGAGTCAAATCCAGTAAATATGCTCAACTATCTTATTAATTTTTTTTAATTCCTCAGTTTCTTATAAAGTGGCTTTATGAACCATCATCATTGGATCCCCTGTAAACTTGTTAGGAATATTGAATCTCAGGCACCATTCCTCGCTGTTTAATATTTTCATTGATCAAGATCTGCTGGTGACAAATTATTTTTGTGAAGTGCCATCGAGTCAGTTCCGACCCATAGCGACCCTGTACAGAGTTTCCAAGGAGCAGCTGGTGAGCTTGAACCACCTTGCAGTTCAAACGACTTTGTAGTCTGGTGCATTAACCCATAGCACCACACCAGGACCTCCATTAAGTTTTGGAAGGTGTGGCATTGTAGGATAAGCACTAGACCACAAGGTCAGTTTGGACCACAAGGTCAGCAGTTCACTCCACTGAAATTTGTTTAGCATCACATCAACACGTAAACCTCTCCTACATGGAAGATGAGAATCTTAACTACTGAGCCAGCATGTCCCCAGTGGGTTGTGGATCGAAACACAGAATCTCAGGCCCCACTCTAGACCTGCAGAATTCAGATCTGAAGTTTACTAAGATCTCATGAGCATTTCTCATAAGGAGCTCTGGTAGCGTTGTGGTTACAAATTGGGCTGCCAATTGCAAGGGTAACAGTTCAAAACTACCAGCGGTTCCACAGGAGAAAGATGAGGTGGTCTGCTCAGAAACCCTGTACAGGGTCGCTATGAGTCGGAGCCGACTCCATGGCATATAACAACAACTCATGGAGGTAGTAACTCTAAATACCAACAGAGAGGAAAGGAGTCTTCACATCAAGTATCAATGTTATCCCCTCTATACACAGGGTAGATAGGGACGGGCAACTTAGACATTGACTACCTAAAATGAAGGAGTGATAAAGGCATGAAGTGGCTGGCTTACAAGGTTTCAGGAGGAAGT